TATGGGCAAGTCTCAAGATTTCCTTACAACCCTCATCACTTCTTCACTGAAAAAAATATATACCTGTATATATAGTGGTGGTTGTTATTCTTGACCTTAGAATGGTGCTGGAATGGGTTTCGTCAACATACATGTCAAATTTAACAATCCAATTAAAGCAAATCAGTATCTAGTTAAATAAATATAAATTCCATTATTATTATTCAATTAATTCAACCTCTGTTAAGTTTTATCTTTACTATGGCCATTCAGATCACTCTCACTGGTGTTTAAAACACTAAGAGACCTACTGCGTACAGACCAGTGACTTCCACACAATGACAGCTTGGGCCAATCTAAACTAGCACTGTGGTGAACCTGTCTTTGGTCTTCCAAACCACCCTCCTTTCAATCACTACCAGAGCTTGCCTATGAGCTGGTTCAGGGAGTTGTATCAATAGTAAACTCACTCAGTATAAAAACATGAGTCTTTTTCTGCCAGGTTAGCTCCCTCTGAATTGATGAATTTGAATTGATCAGAGCCCACAAAGCAAGGGAGCTGCAAGATCACATGGCTGAGGAGGTTGGGCGGTGAAAGACTGACCCTTTCAATAACCATGAGGTACTAAATAAGCTCACTGTTCTGGGAAACTTCATCTTAACCCTACCAAAAAAAAAAAAAAAAAAAGTAAAGAGTTTCCTGTGGGCTTAATTCATTGAAACAGTACACCTTGAGGTCAGACCAGCACTAGAACTAATGTAAGGGAATTGCAACTTTTTGTATGGACCATACACCTGTTTCTGTGCTGAGTAAAGCAACAGCGCTAAAATGCAGACATCTACATAAATAGGTATCAGACTCATAAATGACTTTTAGACATTGTTTATGTCAGAGTGACGTAAGTAATAGTTTAGCTCACTTGATGCATGTGAAATTCTTATTAGTACTAATATGTGGGCCAAAGTCTTTCTAAGGAGAAATGAAGGTGAGATTTCCTGGGCATCTAATAACCCCCTTTGCTTCTTACATCGAGTTCTCATACTCATCAAACTCTTTCACAAACAAACTGGTCACCACAACAGCAGAAAAATGTTTCAGTTTTTAAGTTGGTTAGAAAGTTCAAGTGGCTGGGGCCTGACAAGCACCACAAAGGAAGTAAGCAGTGGGAGTACAAAGCTGGGAGCTTACCCCACTCAACAGCAATCATTAAAGCAACAAAAAATAGTTTACTTTCTGCTGGCTTAGAAAACTGAAATACAGAGATAAGTAAACATCAAAAGCAGTCCAGTGATGGAGGCTGACACGCAAGACCAGAAGCAGAGAAAAGGACAGGGAGAAAGAGCAAAAGGAGCAAGTGAATCTCTTCTGAGCTGTCCGATCATATGTACTACCTCATCTAACCATGCCATGAGAACTGAAACAAGAAATCTACTGTCCATTAGCACAAATAAGACCTAAATGCAATTTTATAACCATTGCATTTGGTTATAACCATCATGTTATTTGCCCAAGCTACCTCATTAAAAAACAAGAAATGCAGATGATCTGTGCCATGCTTTCAAGACAATTACCTCTGCACATTCAGAGTTAACTAGACTTATGACCCCTGTAGTAGAAATGTTAAGAATAAGTGGGTATGTGCCAGAATTTAAAAAGGATGGTAGTAACCATTGCTGCCATTTTACAGAAATGGCTTTCAAGTAAGCTGAGCTGCTAAGTCAGCTGCAAGTACAAAAGGAGATGGACAGGCAGATGGCAGTCAATTACAATGAACTGGAGTAAACAATTATGTGCAAGTATTCTGATTGAAGGGCATTTCTGTCCCCACACTCCAAATGACAGTGGGAATATTTACACTGACATAGATGGTTACATGTTTGGCTTTCTTTATACTGAGAGATAACATCATTTGCCTGTAGTAACTCATTCATAGGGAAAACTCCAGAAACTAGGACAGAAATTCTCAGTCACCTGCAATTCCACCACCAAGTTTAATTCATGTCAGGGTAATAGGATGGATACGTAAATGTCCATGAAATACATACTGCTCAGGGGACCAATTTTTGTGGAAACAAAATTTACTATGTTTATTCTTAGAAAAATTAGGATTCGTTACTGTAGGAAATACTACCTTATTATTATTATTACTACTACTACTACTATTCCCAGGGAGGCCATCCACCACCTCTCTGGGCAACCTGTGCCAGTGTTTCACCACCCCCCCAGCAAAAAATTTCTTCCTTATATCTAGTCTGAATCTACCCCCCTTTAGTTTAAAGCCATTCCCCC